AACGGGTTGTTGGGCATTGGAATGTGCTGCCCAGGGAGGTGGTGGAGTCCCCATCCCTGGTGGTGTTTAAGAGTCGGGTCAACATAGCGCTGAGGGATCTGGTGTAGTTGGGAACTGTCAACGTTAGGTCAATGGTTGAACTAGATGGTCTTCAAGGTCTTCTCCAACCTAGACAATTCTGTAATTCTGTGAAATTGCGTTGCTTTGATCTTCTGCAGAGCATTTGGCATCTCCCTGAGTAATGACAATTTTGTTGTCACAAACAACATGAAAATTCCTACGTGGAAGCATTTTTTGCTTCTGTAAATATGGGTGTCTGTGTGAAATGAATGGACCAAAAAATAATAAGGAAAGGCACAATTACCAGCAGAACTTATTTTTTATCTGCTGTTGAGCCTCAGTGGTGGAGGGAACAGAGTCATCTTTGCGCCCTAATGAAATGTGACAGATGTTTAGGGACCACAGGCTGACATTTCCTGACAGCATCACCATCTGCACACTGAAAGCTGCTAGTATCCGGACATCATAATCTGTTAAGGGCTGTTTATTACTGTACCTCTAAATCTCAGGTCAAGCAGATCCTGGAGTTATACATCATCAGTTTTGCATGCAGTTCCCTCACCTTAGCTAGGATCCTCATTCTCAGTCTCCCATTGTGCTACCTAGTTGGATGTTTAACTTTCCAATTAATCAAGTAAATAAACTAAGATGTAGATATTTGAAAGTGGGGGAAAAAAAAGTCTTATAGCCTGCCAGCAGGAAAAAATAGATGTTAACCTAGTTCTAACTAGGGCAGATGGAGTTATATAATCTGATTTCTAAGAGTAAGGGATTTTTCATATAAGTAGGGATTTAGTATATATGATATACAGCAGTTTTTGCAGCTTCAGAATCATAACATGACAGTAGTGCCTACAATCCTACTTCTACACATGAAGCAGGTACAGGGAAAACTGTTTAAAGAATGAAAGATGCAGAAATGACAGGGGTTTTTACCTAAATCAAGGAAAAACATGTTTCCTCAGATATGGTGGAACACAGATTAAAACAGGGACTACAGGACTGATCCAATATTTTTTTCTCAAGCATTTTTTTTTTTTTTGAGCAAGGAAAAGGTGACCTTGAGAGACAACAGTACAGGTTAATTGGAGTAAAAAAAAAGCAGGTAAAAAACCCCCAACCAGTGGAGGTTAACTATATTTTGCAGACTTCAGTGTTTCCTTGAGTTATAAGGAAGAGGAGAAAAGGCTGAAGGCACAAGTCATGTTGCAGAAGTAGATGTGCCAGTTTGGCCTTGCAGAAAATGTTTTTTTTCTGAGTTCAGGTACCCTGAGGAGTGGTCTTGAATTCCAGACTCTTTTTTTTTTTTTTTTTTTTTTTTTTAATTAAATACAAATAAACAAATCGCCAGCATAAACTCCATACAAGGAGGGATGTGTTCAGCTGCTCCACCTGGTGGAGGAATATTCCTGGTCAGGTAGAAGCCCCGTGCCTTCTGCAAAGTTTTACTCCTTGGATCCTGGCTTGAGAAATGCTTTTTTCTCATCCATCCAGATCCTCTGATCTCAATGATGAAGCAGGCTGTCATGTGGCTCAGGCACTGATCTTTGAGGCCAGCTTTAGCAAATAGAAGGAAGAGTTTGTGTACTTCCTGAGCTGAAACAGCTCTTGACTTGGTGGCATCCCAGTGTCTCAAGTGCTGAGTCAACAAGGAAAGTTGCAGCCTTGTGTTCTTTCATTCATTTGCCAAAGGGAAGCGTGGCATGGGGCTGATTTCTTTAAACTTCAGGATGATGCAAGGGTGCACCAGGTCCTTCCACCTCGGGTATCTCAGATACCTGCTTTGTGGATCTCTTGATTTGACTGCTGTCTGGAAGTGAATACATGAAAAAACATGAACATATGAAATCAAGAAATCAAGAGAAGAGCCACAAAAGCAGCTCAGCACTGAGAGGGTCACTTTCCAAAACAGTGCATCTTCCTTTGTTCCCTGCAAGTTTCAGTGATCTAAACAGACTCCCTGTTCCTGTCTATAGATTTAGGAAGTCTAATGCTCAGTAAAACAAAGCAGCTGTATAAAAATATCTATAATTCTGGGAAATAGAATGGGACAAATTACAAGAACTGACAACGTATTTCACTAAAGGTTGCTGGACTACCATGTATAAACTCAATCAGCTGGTGGAGTACCAAGCAAACTGTTAGATCTTCACCTCTGTAGATATTCAGATCTGAAAGTCTGTTCTTCTAGTACCCTGGGTAAAAACCAAACCAGGTATGTGTTCTGTGGGAAATCTGAAGTCAGCTGGACCTAGTAAATTCTAACAAGTCAGGGCAAACCATGTCCCAGGAAGAGATTTTGCCTTGGAAGGAAATATGAAAGACTGCTGCTTTACGGGTAATCTCTCAGCAAGAGAGAGCAAGTATGCACTGTCTGGCACAGTTGTCCTCCTTGGAAATAAACACATACACCTGTGGGAAAGGGTCAATGTCTCACCAATGAGGCAAAAAAGATTTGTTCTATTCACTCTCCCTGTTCTGGAAGCAGATGGCTTTCATCTTGTAGCTGAGGATTTTCAGAATGAGCAGTCTCATGTGAAAGAAATGAGGGGAAACAGTGTTAGTAGGAGGTATGTTTACTAAGCAAATATGTGGCAAGCACATCTACTATAGCAACTGGAGACGGGGGGTTAACTTTCTGGGATGCATGTGCACACATGGATGCACGCATGCAAAGAATAGCAGCTATTCACTCCCTAGGGTGGGAGCACATGGGTCACCCTGCCAATCGACACAATTTAAAGTCTTCTGTAAACAGAAGGAGGTAGCATTTAAGTCTCCAGAACAATAGAGTAGTGCTCATTTTTCACCTCATATCACAAAGCAAGCAAATACAGTCTTCAGTAGTTGGTGTTTCTGAATGGATTTCAGCTCTGAAAGCACACATGGAACATTTTCCTTAAAGCTACCAGGAGTGTCTTACTCTAACGTTTTAGAATCAGCTTAGGTGGGTTCAGTTTCCAGCTTGCATAAGAGTTAATGTTCTCTCTTTCAGTACAAGTTCTACACTGAGCTACTGTCACAAACGTATGTGAATGATCTGTGATGATCTGCCCCCTGTGGCATCCTGCTATAGACAACTGAAGGGGAAAGAAAGCCAACACAAAACACCAAAACAAAAAAAAACCCACCACACTTTCTTTTCTTCAGAACATTGTTTATTGTTGTTACTTACCTCTAGTGAAAGAAAAGACAAAAGCCACACCACAGTGGAATGTGTAATTCCTCAAGGGTTCTAATCAAACCCAAAATAAACATGAACTATTGTTGTTTTAGTGTTAAAACTAGCAAGCTTATATAACAAAATCCAAGTAGCAAGTCATTGGAGGAAAAGTTATTAAAAAAGAAAAGCTGCTTATGTTAATTAAACAAAGAAAATCTGCCTGGCAGACGGGAACAGCTTAGAAGCAAATGCATTTAAAATATGTATCTATTTCTTGGTGTTCCCCAGAGCACTCACACACAGCTAGTATGTGTGCTTGTCCATTCAGTCTTAAGGATTAAAAAAATTGTTAATCATGTTGACTAAATCCAGGGCAGATACAGTGGTCTTTAAAAGCAAAAGCCTGTGTGAATCCACCAGATTGTGTGAATGAAGCTCTGAAAGTAGAGAAAAGACACTTTAATTCTGCTCCCCTTGAAAGGCAGGAAACAGTGCAAAATAAAAATCTATTCGGCCTCAGAGAATCCCTTTGTTCTGGAAAACCCAAAATAGGGAAAAAGGTTCTATCAGGGCTTATCATGAAGCACCAAAAGCCAACAATGAGAAAACAAATCCATTAGAAACCAGACTGCACCAGTACTGCTGTTTGCTCCTCACTGAGTGTCAGGTGAGGAAGACGTTACCAGCAGCTCAGATTCTCCCCTCACTCCCACAAACTCGAACAAGTTGATCCCTGTGTTGCAGGAGCCTGTTGAGAGATATTAGGCTATGACAATATTCAGGTTTTCATTAATTTAATTTCTTCTCAGACCTGAGCGGGTAACCAAGAGAGTTAGAGGGAATTCCACATCCCTTCAGTAATTTATTCTACTTCTTTTTATCTTTTCCCCTAATTAAACTTTTTTAGAAAAGCCTTCAGTAATGACACATTAACCCCTGTATTTAATATTATCATTCATTTAAAGAACAACTGCAGCATATTTTATGGTAGTCATATACAGAATAGTTACACAGCTATTTTTATATACTTACCATTGCAGACATACTACGTTCTGAGACACTAAAAAAGGTCATAAAAAAAATGAGATACAACATGAGTAGAGACTGTAAGATTTTTAGGTGCACTGTTTAATACTGAATAAATATTCAAGGATTTCCTATCTTAACTATAATATTATCACAGAAATCTTTTATTTTTCAGAAATGATAAAATGAAAATGGCTGTTTCCAAGTCACAATTGAATTTTTAAAAATTTATTTTAGAGCAGGGATTTCCAAATGTAACCATGCAGAGCCAAAAACTTTATAAAGTAATAATTTAGTATTTATTTATTCAAAAATTTAGTAATCTCTTACAACATCCTGCTGTGGCCAAGTGAATTTCCATTTAGGCACTGCTGCTTGATTACCTTACAAAGAATAGAGCAAGTATGGTATTAAATTGAGATAATAATCAACCTGAATGAAAACATATCAAGCACAGTGCAGATAGCCACAGGCTCCCTATTCTTCTTCATCAAAGTTGTGATAAATGTACTTTCATATGTTTGTGCATCCTTCTACTTACCACTGATAAGTGCTAAAAGGTGGTGAGTTTGTTTTAGATACAACAGGTAGTATTTTGATTGTCTTGTACTTTTAAGATATGAATTACTGTGCTGAATAATGCAGTCATTACTGCAAACTTAATGAGCACATTGCTTGCTTCATAAGATTGTCTAGTGAATCTGAAAATTGCTTCCCTCCTTTTGATAAGAAAAACCAGAGACATGTAAGGTATTAAGAGGATTTTTATTTGTAATCAGACCTGCATCACATCTCTAATAATTTCTATAGTCTGTATTTTCTGCAGAAAATATAATCTGTCAGTGAATATACCAAAAATACCCGCTTTCGCCATGTAGTAAGCATATAACAAGCCAAGGGTAAAGTTTTCTTTTGTGCAGTTCTCTCACATGCGGTACAGATCTCAACTACATATCCTGGTTACAAGTGGTGTGCAGAACACTCTTTGTCAGTAGGAGATACTAAATGCATGCCTTAATTTAGGAATATATGTACTATAGATAGGAGATGCGTGATTTATCTCTCAGGGAAAACTATGTTATTTAAGCTACAGTTTTTGTTTTTACTTGATAGAAGACCATAGAAAACTTCCTCAAGTCTCTGTTAGGATTCTCATCATTTTTATCCTTCTGAGATATTATACTCCTGACAGCGCTGAAAATGATGGGACATGATTTAATGTGGGAGACAGGCAAGTCAACATCGGCCAGTCAGCTCTGCACAGCCCCTGAGAAGCAGCAAGGCTTTGATGAGAAACAGGCCTTGGAAGAAAGATAAGAAACTGCTGAGTTGTGCCAAGGTGGCAGGGAAAAACAACAGACAGCTGCAACACTGAACGGTGGAAAAGTACTGAACTGTGAGAACAGCGCATGAACAAGAAGTTGATTGGTCTGCACAGCACGTGTTAGTGGTCTTATGCTGACAGGAGAAACGGTTGATAGCTGTCTAATTGCTGATTTGCTAGTTATGAAGTAAGAGCTTTGGCGAGAGCATAAGTATGTAATATTGGAAAAATAAACAGCTTTGCTTGATATAACTCTCATAGAGTTGTGCAAGTCCATTATTCTCCCACAACAATTTAATGGTTGAGTAATAGTGTGTCTAAAGGGGCTAGGACAGTAAGGGGATATTGCAGAAGAGCATAGTGAGAGTAGGAATGGAATATGAAGCCTGGATTCACTAGCTTTTGAACTTCCTCTTTTTCTAATACGATGATTAAAAAAAAAAATTGGGCATGCAAACAAGTTTCCAAACTATATGAAGATTTTAAAAATAATTACCAAAAAAAAAAAAAAAAAAAAAAAAAGACACACTGCAAATTTCTGGAAACAAAAAGTGTTAAAAAAAGTAGAATGATCCCAAAGAAATGGGGATTTTGCTGTTCTATAGCTCTCCTTCCTACAGCCTTATAGGTGAGTCCATGGCAAACACCATTTTGAACCACAGAGTCTCTCACAACAGGCTTGCTCTGCCTCATCCACTAGACTTGCCTGCCCATCAGCCTCAGAACTGAACATTTACTCATGATCAGTTTTCTTAGGCTCTCGGAAAGTGAAGATGCAAAGAGTGCTTAGAAAAAGGCTACCTCTCAACCAAAGGTCAACTGATGAAAAAGCTAACAGTAAAAAAAATACTATTATGACAAACACACACACAGAGGCCTCAAGACTACTTCCACCTTTCAAAGTTTTCTTGGCTGGAAAATTTCACCCAGTGTCTTTCAGTCACTTCCAGAAGTGAACCAACTGTGTACTTGCAATCCAAGTCAGTTTTCATTATTAGAGGATTTAGAACTTCAATCATGTCGAATTCCTCTTTGTCTTTTTAAGTGAAAGAAGATTGAGCTAAATGATTATTTGGTATGAGTCAGTGCTGTTAAATTAAAAAAAAAAAAAAAAGGAACCAAGCAAATTTCAAAGGCTTAATATTACAGTATGTGAGTATTTATGACTAAGCCTCCAGCCATAAGAAAAAATCCTGAAATTGTTTAACACAAGCAGTAGGACACAGCAAGTAATAGCCTATTACTTAAACAAAAGTCTCTTTGAGAATCATCTGAGTAGAAAAACAAGTAAGAAAGTTTGTCTCCTCTGCAGATCCTGTGCACCTGCTTCTCTATATTTCTAGGTGCGTTACTTCAAGAATTCAGTTGAAGCACAGCTACAAGCGATTTCTAGAATTAAATATACCGTTATTAATTTCAGATGTATAATAGTGCAATCATCATTACAGTAAGGGAGCATTAAAGTGAAAGCTACATTTATTTAATTTGTATTTTCAGAAACATCATGGATTTCTTCAGCTATATAGAGCAGTTAAAGGATAAATTCGGGATTACCAGCTTAAAGCAGTGCTATTTAAGGTGAATCTATGTAACAATTGCAAACATCTAAAGTCACTTTATGCCCAGCAGGTGAGAAATATCTACCACGACAGAATTTAGACACAGTATATTTCCATCCTTCAAGATCTTAATAAATTCAACACCCACCCACCCCTTTTTTTAAGCCATTCCAGTCTTCACTTTCTATAAATCAAGTCCCAGCAAAGTTGCAAAACTGAAGGAAAAGCTGGCAAGTTCATATCAGCACATCAGTTTCTCTTCTTTCCATATCAAGAAAATTAAAAGGAATAGTTGAGGCACAAGTGATTTCTACGCAGAAGTATAGAAGTATTTCAAATAAGTAGACTAAAGCTTCAGTACTTCTTTAAAAAAGACATAGATCATAGGTCTATGATCACAGTCATGGATCACAGTCACAGCAGTCTTACTGGACTACTTTTTTTTTTTTCTCCCAAGATGAAAAAAAAAAAAAATTGGTTCACGGAACTTACCAAAGCCACTTTATACTGCCATTTCACACAGTCCATGTTTAATCAAAGCAAAGTACAAACTCGTGCTTCAAGGCAGCCTGAAAGCATTCTGCTACACTCAACAGTAAACTATTTCTTCGTTGAAGACAGCTTCAGTGAACCCAATAAGTCAGAGAAGAGTCCGTTCAGCTGAACTGACACAGACGTTGCACGCAGAACTTACATGAAAGTGCACTGACAACAAGCTTTTTGAATAAGTCCATGTCATAAGAGCTTGTGCTTGAAACTACCTTTATAGCTACGGTTATTGTTTCTGTTAAGAGGCACTGCATGAATAATATGGAGTTAGTCATCTAATGCACTTAATATTTCTCAGCTGAGGACTATTGCAGCTTTACCCTATGTCTAGGTGTGATTATACTTTGGTTTGCTTTACAACAGTAACATTGCACTAGTAATACAGCTGATACTAAAGAGAAGGCTGAAAACACTGCAGACCGGAGGACTGAAAACAACCAACTCACTTCTTTACTTCTTTTCATGCTTCTTGGTTAGTTTTCCTCTTTCTAGCTGGAGGCTTGTACTGCTGTTTGTTCGCTTCTCCTTTTGCTGGCTCTCCTGGGAAACTTGCTGCACTGCTCGGAGGATAGCAGTCTGCACAATCTGCTTGCTGGCATTCTGCAGCTTAACTTCATCTTGTTCCGTCCCTGGCTTCTCACCTGCCAGAACCAAATGACAAAGAAAGGCAACTAAGCATTTGTTACACCTGAAGGACAGAAAAACAGGAGGAAAAAAACCAACTAAGCAAACACCACAGAATGCTTGAGAACAGCTTATTATATAGGGAACCTGCTAATAGAGTAGATGATGAAGTAGGGTGGAAAGTGCCACTGTGTACTCAGCACTACAGGACTGAATGAAGGTGGAGACTTTGCGTCATCCAGCTCAGTTACCCACTTCCCAGCTCTGGGGACAGCTGTGGTTTCACAGCTGAAACAAGCACATCTGCATTTTGTAGCAAGACAGGGAAAGAGGATTTTCTCATCCAGCTGTGATTCACATCCTTTTAAACTTGAACTGTGCTTCTGGATGGGCAATTGGACTTCATTTTGCAAGCCTGACATGTACTCCCTCACAACCATACAAAGAAAAAGCTGTTTCATTAACATTTCTATTTACTTTTCCTTCAGATTAAAAGCCCTCATCCATCAAATTCCATTTCGACTTCAAGGTATGAAATTTTGTCAGGTGTAAGTCTATTAACTCTTAGCTATATTTGCAAAAATATTTGCAGAAGCATTAAAAAATGCTCAGATTGTCATAGGTAAAATAGGAAAAAAAAAAACCAACAAACCCCACCATCTATAGCAACCTGACAAATATGTATTTCTTATGTCACACTTCCTTGGTTTGCCAAACTGCTAAAATCTGGAGAAGAACAAAGTAATGTACTGTGAGTCCTGACATATGGTAATGAAGAAACGTAGTTTATGTTAAGAGGTTTCTCTTTGGAAGTATTTTGACTCCAAACACAAATGACAATTTGGCAGGACAACACAGAATGCTGTGTAATGTTCAAAGTTGATCTTGAAATAAAAAAAATAATTTTGAATTAAGGTAATGTAAGGTGATTGTCTTTTAGCAAAATGTAGACTCAGTTTCTAATTGAAATGCTTAGGCTAGGTGCTTATTTACATCACTAGATTTGATTTAAAAGGTTTTTAAGATACTCATCTCACTTATTTCATAATTGACTTGTGCTCAAGTATTTTGTTAAACAGGATTTGTATTTTACTGTCTATTTTAGAGCCATATATTAAGAATTATGTTTTGAGAGAAATAAAACAGTGTATTAAAGGTCAGCTGCTTTTATGAGAAGTCCTCATGAGGAATTGTGAGAAATTCCCAATGTTCTTTAAGAATTTTTTGCAAGGAAATTTAAGATACAGACAAAAAATAGAATCACTTGTTTACCTTAAGAAAGACACTACTAAGTTCTGAAACTTGAGGAGAGGGAAAAAGTCCTACACTTGGGTCAAGGCAATCCCCAGTATCAATGCAGACCTAGTGGTGACTGTATTGAGAGCAGCTTTGTGGAAATGGACTTGGGGATACTGGTAGATGAAAAATTGGATATGAACCAGCAATATGTGCTCACAGCCCAGAAAGCCAACCATATCCTGGGCTGTATAAAAAGAAGTGTGGCCAACAGGTCAAGAAAGATCATTCTGACCCTCTACTTTGCTCTTGTGAGACCCCACCTGGAGTGCTGTGTTCAGATCTGGTGTCCCCAGTACAAGAAAGACATGAACCTGTTCAAGTGGAGGAGGGCCATGAAGATATCAGAGTGCTGGAGCACTTTCCCTAAGGACAGGCTGAGAGAGTTGAGGCTGTTCAGCGTGGGGAAGAGAAGGCTTTGGGGAGACCTTATTGTGCCCTTTCAGTATATAAAAGGGGCTTGTAAGAAAGATGGAAAGAGACTTTTTAGTGACAGGACAAGGTACAGGGGTTTTAAACAGAAAGAGGGCAGATATAAGGCAGAAATTCTTTCCTGTGAGGGTGGTGAGGCACTGGAACAGGTTGCCCAGAGAAGCTGTGGCTGCCCCCTCCCTGGCAGTGTTCAAGGCCAGGTTGGACGGGGCTTTGAGCAGCCTGCTCTGGTGGAAGGTGTCCCTGCCCATGGCAGGGGAGTTGGAACTAGATGATCATCAAGGTCCCTTCCAACCCAAACCATTCTGTGGTTCTGTGATTCATGATCTGTGAACCTAAACCAACCACCAGCAGAATGATCACAGCTTACTCAGTGAAAAAGAAATAATTATCTCCCATGTTTCTTTGAAAATACTTTAAAAAATATACTTTTTTCTATCATGCTCATATTATACATGTTCTGAATAAAAGTAAAATACAAATGTGGTTTAATTATATTGAAAGTGAATAATTTTTTAAAAACCCTGAAACTGTACTGAGATAACAAAGTTTGTCTACAATTAAGAGGTTAAAACCACAAAAAGTTAGAAAACATGGTTTAAGCTGGAAAAGCTGATTGAATGGAATCACTTGAATTCTTGGCACAATTAGCTTCCCTGATTCAGTTTGTTCCACTCCTCAGCACTTGAAACAGTGAATTTTTGATAAAATTCAATGCTATTTAACAGTAAAGTACAGATATTTATTACTCAAATAAGTATTCACTTTGTATTATACAACAAATTAGTCTTCTTGCTGGACTGAAAAAGATCAGCCAACTCAGCTGATGTTCAGAGATAATATATTAACAAAAGCATGGAAAAGCACAAATTGGAAATATAGATTAGTATGGTGGTATGGTCTATGAGGTTATAGAAAATGTCAAAAATTTGCCAACCCTTATAGCCATAACCCCCCCCTGAATTTATTGTTAAAATATACTGTCATTAAGCACGTTGGTGTTGAAAGTTACTCAGTTTTCTTTCCTTAGGTATGATTTATTATTTATTTGCTTCTTGTCACTTGATCTACAAAATCTGAATATTAAATATTTTTATACTGGGAAGGTCATCCACAGCAACACCCAGTTTAAAAAAAGGACAGTTTTCCAGTGAATTATTACCTGAGTGTATCATGGAGCAATGCCTGCCTAAAAGCACCACTCAGATGAGACCTAGATTACATCTGCTCAGCTCTAACTCATTAGATGGTTGTTTTATTTGCTGGGAAAACAAATCAAGAACAGAAAAACAAAAACCTCTGGATTACTTCTGCCCTGCTTCTGATGGTTTAGGTATGCACAGGAAGAAAATAAGCCAGTTCAAACACAATCTTAATGATTTTACATCTGTGTAACACAGGGTGATAGTAACCCAGGTAACAACAGCTAACTGGCATTGGAAACATAAAGAGTCAAAGCTGTTGGCCTGGGGTGACGTGACCAATGAAGCCATTGGCCATTCATGCTGATCATCTCAATTAGAAAGCAACACTGGAAATAACAGCCCTCTTTGAGGAGAATATCTGACACTGTGAAGAGGTCTGAGCCTGTACTGGGACCATTACATGTAGGCGCTGGACTGCCAGCCAGGATCCAGACATGTTGAGCAGACACAAACATCCAGTTCCCCTGGGTGTGTGGTGCCTATCACAGGTAGCCCATCTCGACATGATCCTGGGAAAATGGCTCTAGGTGACCCTGCCTGAGCAGGAGTTGAACAAGATGACCTTCAGAGGTCCCTTCCAACCTCAAGCCTTCTGCATTCCTGTGATTCTAGCCAGTAAGACCCATTTTTCCACTTCCTGAAGGAGTAAACAGCAGTCTCTGAATAGTATCTCCACTATGTCCTTTTCTTCCAATTATTCATTTCAAGGAAAGCAGTTGGCACAAAGCTGTTTTCTGAGAAGCTCATTTATTGATATGCTGGACCTACTCTGAGCAAGAAGAGAGGGACTGACTACAGAAAGCAGAGATGACTCATGCAAGGATCCCAAAGGGACTAAACTGGAACATATCTATCAAACCACTCCATCCTGATGAAATACAGACTGCTACGGACATAAACAAAGGCAGAAATTTGAGTGCTTATAGAATTAATCAGACGTTTTAAGAACTGCATGTTTTCGATTAGGTAAAACAGAGACATCACTCCTGTTGTCTTTACTTAGACTTTATCTGATGTTTATCTAATCAAAGTATGAATTACTAGAGTAATAAGATACAATTAATTTTTAGCTACAATTCTTTTAAGATTTGAAGAATAACTAACTTAATTAAAATTCCATGACAAAAGGTCACTTGAAGTAATTGCTGGGAAAAACTTGCAGGATAGCAGAAACAACATTCTGCCTATTAGTTATCCTTGTCTAATGACTACTATTTTCTCTTGATGTCAGAAAATCTTTCCTACTTATTCTCTATCTTTAAATGCTCACCTGATTTATACAGGAACTCAGCACCCTAATTCTGTAAACAGAGAACTGAAAAATCCAGGTTTTGTAATATTAGATGAAAGGTAGCAATTTTATCATTAAGACATAATAAATCCTCTTTAGCATTTTTTTATTACCTTATCTTTCACTTGTTAAGTTTTATGCCACTAACATAGCAGATGAAAAGTAATTTGCAAACTCCAGCTTGGTTCTGCAATTTAAAGTACAGCTTGAGAGATTTAAAAACCTCAAAATCTTAGACTGACTGCAGGAATCAGCCACTTTCATTTAAAACTAGCGCTAGTATCAGTACCTTGAATTCCCTTGGCTTGCTTGAAGATGTTCCCCATGAAGAAAAATATGCTAGCAGTTTGGAAAAAAAATAAAAGCATTTAAAAGTAGACTCCAAGTATTCATTCCAATTACTAGAACTAATATTAGTTTAAATCCAAAAAGTGGAAGTCTTTACATTCTCTGTGATATTTTTGGAATGTGGAATATACCTAGAAAAGTATAAATGGAAAATGATAGCTATAGAGAAAGAACATATAGCACAGATTAAATCCTGAAGAGCTTCATCCCAGTTGCACATGGACCATTTATTCACTCCAGTTGCACATGCTCATTTATGCACTACACTTTCATCAAAGTACCCTGAGTCACTTCCTTTACAGCCTGCAATCAAAGTAGTCTCCTGCACTTTCTGTTGATATCCGCTGGGCTTTTTTCCCTTTCAGCTTGCTACACATTAAATTTAATATGCCTTATAAACACTCCTACTAAGTAACATTCAACAACAGGTCATTTGTTTGAATCA